ATATTTTCCTAATCTAAAAAATAAAAAAAACAAAAGAAACCGCTTACAGGAGTTGTGCTGTACAAATGAGGTACTTACCTAGAAGACAAAGCAATGGTTTGTCGTGTGTTCACGCGCTCCAATAAGAATATCAAAGTGCTGAATGCTCCCAAATTAGCCCACCATCCGAATCCACAAGCTGATTTTTTGTTTTTTTGTTTTTTTTTTTTCAAACTAGTGTATGGAACGAACTAGTTTATGCACAACTGGTTTAGTTCTGTACTGATTCCAAAATTGGGGTAGTGCTGTGTTCGTAAGCAAATAAGGCTAGTTTTTATTTTATTTTTTTAAATATACTTATTACACAAATACACTGTACCAAACGATCAATTTAACAGACCCAGAAAAACTCCCAGTGGCGGCTTCACGTCGGCGAGGAAGAAAGCTTGAAGACGGCAATGGCCGTGACTGGATCGGCAACCAGAGAGGATTCGGATGACAACGAAGCTACGAGGATCTGTGCTCGGCATAATTGAACGGCAACCGGTGAGCAAAAAGGATTGTGGAATTCCGGCGACAAAACCCTCAAATCTGACGACGACTGCTGTGGGTTAAGTTCTGTCGGTGATTGCGTGATTCTGGCGGGGCTGTCTCGCGAAGCATATGGGTTAATGCTTTTTTTTTTTTTTTTTTCAATGGGGGTATACTGGTTTAGGTGTTGTGACGGGATGGGATTTTGGGTGGGGTTTGGTGGTTGAGAGTGGTGATGGGTAGTTGTTGGAAGACTGGTGATGGTGGTTGTTGGTGATGATGGATGGAAGAGTGGTGGGATATTTTTTCAAAGGCCAATACCTGGAAGAAGGAAGAAAAATAAAAGAAAAGTAAGGAAAATAAGAAAAATAAAATAAAAAAAATAAGAATTAGCAAAGAACAGTAGAGACGTAATGATCAATAAATGAAGCAATATTTTTTTTCTTTTTTCTTTATTTTCTTTAATTTTTTTTTTTTCCTTTTCAAAAGCCTACCAACCTATAAGAAAGAACAATAAAAATAAGAAGTAAAAAGAATGAAAGGGAGGGATAGAAAGTTTGGGTGGGCTCCCAAAAATTTTAGTTCTAAATCGATCTTCGAATTCTCAATCTTGATGCTGCAACGGCGCCATTTGACAAGTGTAGAATTATGGATTCTGTCGTCGTTTTTCTACACTTCGTGCAAAAATAAGAAAAACCTGCAAAAACTAAATTAACAATTAAATAGTGATAAGCAGTGTGGAACCATACAAGATTTAAACTCGTGAATCAAATTTAAAACCAAAATTTAAGGAAGAATAACTTTTAAAACAATTTAATGATTTATTACTAATAAAGTAAAAATAAAATATATAAATAAGACGAAATACATTCTGATCATATAATAAGAAAAATCTCAAGGAAAGAATCCACCACCACAGCTTACCATAAATAAATTTGTATATTTTCCTTTATGTAAATTTTCCTATTGTATGTCCAATTACAACTTGGAAAGATGAAGGAAAATAATAGCGTGAAATAATAATTGCTTGAGAACATATTTTACTTAATCTGATATATCTTTGGTAAATAGAAATAGGCATTCTCTGAATTACCGTTAATTGGCAAACACGAAGAATCCTCTTTCTAATTTTTTTTTTTTATCAAAATAAGAACACAGAATAGAAGAGTAAAATAATGCTCTAAAGAGAAAATTTCATAAAAGAATTAAACTAAATTTAATCATATTTCAGCCATGGTGGCTTCATCACTCCCTTGAGAAGGGGTGTTTAAGCTAGCATATTGAGAAAACAAAATAAAGAAATAAAAACAATCTTTATAACAAAAATTATAAGAAATAAATTGAAGACAAAAATTCTCTCTAACTTTTATTATTTTATCCCACTAGCAATGCATATACACCTCCTCTACATATGTCCCTATTTATAGAGTTTGAATGGAACGATTGGGAGGAGAAAATTCTAATTATAGAAGTGAAATAAAATAAAATAAAATCTTCCTAAAATCTTGATGCTTTCCAATTTGGTGGCTTAATCTTTGACTTGATGTGCTTTTCAATCTGTCTTGATATCTTTTCCAATTTGGCTTTGATCTTTGCTAATTTAATGGAAAAGGCAATTTCCTAATTTGACTTTGATTGATCGTATAATCCCACATTTCTACTATTTTTGTCTCTTTTTTTCTTATTCTGAAATCAGCCCCTACAAAACATGAAAAGTAAGGATAAGAACATTTATTTAATAAAAAATATTAATTAATTATTTATTATTAAGTATAAAATAACAAGTTTTGTACACTTATCAAACTGCCAAAAAAACTGGAGGGTGACTCATTCACCAACACAGAAAATTTGACAGAGGAAATACAAACCTCGTTCCATCTCCTCCATCTCTCTCCGAATCCCATGCTCCCCAACAAATACAACAGGAACTTCCAGCTAACATGATCATAGGCTTTCTCAATGTCTAGCTTGCACAGGATTCCAGGAACACCACGGCTCAACTTAAAGTCCACACATTCACTGCCAATAAGAGCGGAATCAAGGATTTGCTTGCCCCCAATAAAAGCATTCTAAGACTCTGAAATGACTCCATCCAGAACCTCCTTCAATCTCAAAGCAAGGACTTTAGCAATAAGCTTATAAATACACCCCATCAGACTTGGTCTAAATCCTTGACATCGGACACACCACCCTTCTTAGGAATACGGGCAATGAAAGATGCGTTCAACGACCATTCAAACCTCCCATTAGAATGAAACTCATGAAAAGTGTCCATCACCTCATGTCTCACCACACCCTAGCTTTCCAGCAAAAACCTCATAGTAAATCCCTCTTGACTCGGAGCTTTGTCACCATTACAGCTCTTCAGCGCCTTCAACACCTCCTCCTCTTAAAAATGAATTTCTAACCAATCCTTATCCAACACTGAAATAGAATCAAAATGAAGGCCATCAAGCCATGGTCTCCAACCTAAAGGCTCCGAGTAGAGCCTCTGGTAGAAAGAGATAATCCCCTTACACACCTCCAACTCCGCGCACAACTTCGCTCCGTCCACTCGAATCCGGCCAATGTGATTACCCCTCCTGTGGGCATTAGCAAGTCTATGAAAGAAATTGGTATTATGGTCTCCCTCTTTGAGCCATAAAGCTCGAGATTTTTGTCTCCACGAAATCTTCTTCGTAACAACAATCTCTGTAATCTCTGCTTGACAAGCTGCTCTTCTATCACACTGGGACTCAACAATACTACCCACCCCTTCCAATCGATCAATCTCAGCAACATCGGCAAGAGCCTTATTCTTCCTCCACTCCAAGTTCCTGAAAACCTCCTCCTTCCATCTTTTAAGCTCAAAGGCGAAGCTTTCCAGCCAAAATGAAACTCGGAGTACCCACCATGGCCTCCTCCCACCAAAGCCACACTTTCCCCTGAAAATCATCCGCTCTAAGCCACATATTCTCGAATCTAAAAGGAGTACAACAAGATCTCAAGCCTCCACAATCCAAAACCAACGGAATGTGGTCAGAAGTCAGCCTAGCCAGAGCAGCCAAAACAACATCCGGAAACTTCTCCTACTCTCCAGAAATCAAGAATCTGTCCAATGTTAGATCGATAAGATGATGTCCATCAATGAACTCCAAAAATTGTGTCATAGCCTAAGTCCATCTACCACTTGTAGATCTCTCCAATGGGGATCTAACTACATTGAAACCCCTTGCCAACCATCCTCCTCCATCACAAAGGCACATGAAATAGAGAATCTCCCTCTCCAGACATCCCTTGCCATCCATCACCTATCCCACATGACAAGAATGCCTCCCGAAGACCCCGAAGAGTCCAACGCTTCCCACTAAACAAAGGCTCCTAACCACCCTATCTGTCATCGAAGCAACCTTCGTTTCTTGAAAGCAAACCACATGAGCCCCCCATTTTCTCACTGCCAATTTCACCTCCTTCCTCGTCCGGGTCGTTGAGTCCATGGACATTCCAACAAAAGAGTAGTTTCATGAGGAAACAATTGGAATCACCTCTCCTTTAGCCCTCCCCCCCTCACACTACCCCTCTCCCTCACCCCCACACCCTTACCTTCATAGTTCACAACTTCACATAAGAGATAAGATTTCTCACCTCCCTCTCCCCTTTCCAAGAGGGGAGATTCCCTGTTAAACAATCTTAATGAATACAACACTTGAAATTAATATAGTATCAAACAGGTTTACAGAATAATAAATTCAGCACTTAAAATCGATGCACAAATATTTCAGTGCTTAATTTTCATTTTTATCCAATGCACCCTAAATGTCAATTTTTGTACATACCCTAAATTTTGGTTAGAAAGATTTAATATATTAGGTATTTTTATTACGAAAGGTTTAAAATACATTGTCAGTGATTTTCAAGCTTTAAACTGCCGAGCCAGAAAATGGCCCTCTCATGAGAACATAAAATTGTTTTAGAAAAACTAAACCAAATTAGGTGCTAAATAACAACTTTTGAATCTCTTGACTTAGGATTAATATCTAAATGTTCAAAATCTGAAATTTTACTGAATTCATCCCTATAAAACTTGAATTTATCCGTAGACGTGAACAGTTCTTGGATTGTTTCCAAATGTCCTTATTATTGCTCATGTAGAATCCAAATTCCGTAGTAATACTGGGTAACAATGAAATGACAAGCAGCATTCTTATTTTTTAAGCATGCATTGCTTTTCTTGTTGGCAAATTTGTTCTGGTGTTTCTTCCAGCTGCTGTTGATACTAATCCAAATTACTCCTAAACTTATAATTATTTGGTTCCGTAATAATATTCCTTCAAATCTGAAATTGGTCATCATTAATGTATGACAACATGAGAATTGTTATTGTTTACTTTCACTTCTTGTGTGTGTTTCTGCTAGTGCAGGGAAAGTAGGAAATGAAAATTTCTCATTCTTCCTCTTCTTCTTTCATAAATTCCTCACCTGAAACAAGTTCTTGCTCTTTTGCTTTTCAGGAGCAGGAAGGTGCTACTTTGCTTGTTTCTGCAAAATTTTCTGTCATTTCTCTGCGTAACATCTACCTCCAGTTTGAAGAGGTCAGTTTCCTTAATAGAAAATGACTCATGGCAGTTGAGGAATAGCAACTCTAAAAGGTTCCTAATATTTTGAAGGACTGCCTTGAGGCATTGCTTACACTGCCTCAATGCTCTGATTTGATTGGTTAAGATTTTGTTTTTGCTATTGTTAATGCTTTGGTTCACTTGCCCAATAATCTTAATTAAAAGCTTCAGAGTCACAAAAATATTTCTTCATATGTACACTATGTTAAAGAAGGATATGTTAGCATGTGGTTTGACTGAGGCTATGGCCTTAGATAGAGTGGAATGGAAACAACGATTCATGTAGCCGACCCCAAGTAGTTGGGAAAAAGGCTTGTAGTTGTTGTTGTACACTCTGTTATACTTTTTTCACTTTGACCACACTTACTTTGGTAGGTATAGTTCTATCATCTTATTCATACATTAGTAGTTTATTTGGTTAGAGGGAAGAAACGCCGCCACCTCCCTATTCCTGAAAAGTAATTCTGAAGACATTAGCTATTAGAAAGGTTGTAGTGGTTTCTATACTATAAATATTTAACACGTCCCAATCTGGCAATTAATGCTCCTCAAAATGAAACCAAGATGGCTAGGGAGGCCTGTATTGAGGGAATATCCTGCCTGGATATTTCCTTATTGAACTTGCAGCCATTATTTTGATATTGTTTTGTTTTGTTTTCTATTCTAGTCAAGGGTATGCCCAAGGCTAGGTGTTTCATTTGTTTTCCAGCTTCTTATTGATCTCTTCAAGAGATCAAGATCAAGTCATCTTTTGTACTTTATTGTTTTCATTTGTATCAATAAAATTCCTTCCATTCAGGAAAAAAAAATGCTCCTCAAAATGTATTTGGAGCTTCGTTTGGTCAAAATGGATGTCCACCGCCTCCCAGTTCCCTCAGAAGTGATTCCCAAGATATTAGCTAGTATAAGTGTTGCAATGGTCTCCTCTATATTCTCAATATTTGCTCATAGAGGCGATTCCGCGCTTAGATAATCATTTAAGTCCCCCCGCCTTCTGTTCTTAGAGTTGCTACAGGGCAGCCCCTGAGCCAGCAGGGCTCCATTACAGAGTCCCACTCGAGGTATCTAACCTGTCTTTCCCCAGAGTGTTGAGTAAATTGTGCTGAACTTCCATGTTTGGAGTTTTGTTGGGTCACCCCACCACCACCATGCACACACACACACAGATGTCCACACATACATTGATAGTTTCAACATCTTTTTATTTTTATCTTTCCGGAAATTATCTGCAATTCAAGAAACATAATTTCTACTTTCTTCCAGTGCAAAGCCATGCCTTCTCTGTCAAAGTCAGACATTGTGTCGAGCTATATACAATGTTCTATTGATCCAGTCCTCATGGCCCTGGGTTTCCTAAGTTGCAAACTTACAATCATTTGAAACCTTTTGAGCCTACACAGCAAAGGAAATGCAGATATTAATTGATTGCTAATGCAATCAGCTTATGAAAGAAAAATAAACCTGTAAGAAGGGAATAACAGAGTGCTAGACTAAGCTAACGAATAGCTTAAACACCTACAAATCAATCCCAAAGAAAGGGAGAGGTAGAAAGCTTAATATATGGGTAAACTACAATGACCTCCCTGAGGTTTGGCGTAATTGCAAATAAACCTGATGTTTGCATCTTTTTTGCAACCTGCAACGTGTCCCCTTGAGGTTTACCCAATTTTGCAAAGACCTCCACTCTATACAAAAAGTGATACTTTCTGTCAGAAAATTAGTTTGAGGTGACCAAAATGCCCATCAACTAAGTGAAAAAGACGTTATTATCCTTGTAGTATTATCAAATGACAAAAAAAAAACTTTATTATAGTGGACAAAATTACCCCCCTTTCTCTCTCTCCAATGGTGTTTCCAAATGCAACCAATTGTTTTGCAATTTCCTCAGCCATCAACAGATGATTTGATTTTTGGGATTAACAAATTTTTGGTATGTTAATCCACCAAAACTTGAAGCAGGGTGTGTGAAAATCGTCAAATCGCGTAGGCTATGTAGACACTCTGTATTTTGAAGCATGTTGTCGAGGGTATGATAGGAGATGACATGGAAGCCCTCCAAAACTGGAAGCATGTTCTTGAGAACACGACAAGAGTATTTTGCAGTCGGGATTTGAGGTGGTGCCAGGTACAAAATAATATCAATTAATGCGGTGATGGAAACTATCGAATTGGGTTTCATATCCATATGGGTTTTAAGTACACAACTCTTTTGTGTTGAGAGAGAGAGAGAAAGAGAGAGAGAGAGAGGAAATCGGTGGCCAGGAGTAGTGGGTTTAGGAGGAGAACCGGTAACTCCATAGTTTCCGGTGAACCACTCATCTGTCTCCATCTCTCTCTCTCTCTCTCTCTATATATATATATATATATATATATATATATATTGTGTTAGAATGTTTATGTATATATATATTTATGTTGGGTCATTATGTTATTACCCATAGTTGTTAGGATCATTGTATAATTAGGTAACCTTTTTTAATTAGGGTTGTTTGTTTTCCCTTTATAAAAGCCACTGTAGGCTTAAGGGTGAAGGTGTGAAATATATACAAGAGATATACAGAATACATATTCTCTCTTTCTCTCTCTCATGAATTTGAACATGGTATCAAAACAATATGGATTCATGGGTGTGGGAAACGACAATTGTGTTGCCATTGTATGAGATTGGAATCGCGATCGGAATCGCGAGTGTGTTGTCGCATTGGGTGTCTTTGCCAGAAGTTCTTGTCACCGGCTGGTTGAGAACATCACTTGTAGTCGTCGTCGTCGTTAGATCTGCAACCTCCTTCGTCGCCGTCAGATCTGAAGCCCCTTTGGTCGCTCGTGTTGTTGCCGCGTTGGTCGTCAGCAAGCTCGCCGACATCCACCGTCGTTATTTGCAGAGGTGAGGCTTCATCAATTCGTCTTTTCTCTTGGTCGGAAGTTGCAGAAGTGTTTGTCGCTGTTTTTCGCCGTCGCCGTTGCGTGCTTGCCGGCTTCTGTTAGTGGGTGAAGAAGAACAGCGGTGTTTGGCTACGCGGTTATGCTATTCCAACCCTGGTTAACTAAAACCAGAATAGCAAGACCCGGTTTTGAGCCAGACCGATCATTCAGTATTTCACCTGCGCACTAAAGCTGGTTTCATTTTTCTTGTGGTATATGTAGATGATATTGTGATCACAGGAGATGATTCTGAAGGCATTGCTAAGTTGAAGTTGTTTTGCAAAATCGATTCCACACTAAAGACTTGGGTAAACTTAGGTACTTCTTGGGTATAGAAGTTGCTAGATCCAAGAAGGGTATAAGTTTATCTCAACGCAAATATGTGTTGGACTTGCTAGAAGACACGGGTATGTTAGGTGGTCGTCCAGTTGATGCTCCTATGGATTCCAATACAAAACTTGTGTTTGATGAGGGTGATCTAATTAATGACCCGGGCAGATTTCGTCGCCTTGTTGGCAAATTAATTTATCTCACTATCACTCGACCTGATATTTCATATGCAGTTAGTGTTGTAAGTTAGTTTATGGGAGCTCCTAGAATGCCACATTGGATTGCTGTTATTCGGATTATCCGATATCTCAAGCAAGCTCCAGGTTTTGGGTTACTATATAAATCAAATGGTCATCTCAGGGTGGAAGGTTTTACAGATGCTGACTGGGCTTGTTCTCTTTCAGATAGGAGATCTACTACAGGCTACTGCACATTTGTAGGAGGAAATCTTGTTACATGGAAAAGTAAAAAGCAAACGGTGGTAGCTCGATCTAGTGCTGAAGCTGAGTACAGGGCAATGGCCCATACCACTAGTGAGTTGACATGGATACAACATTTTCTGAAAGAACTTGGGTTAACAGTTGAAGCTCCTATTCCATTGTTCTGTGATAATCAAGCAACTGTTCACATTGCATCGAATCCTGTGTTTCATGAGAGGACCAAACATATTGAGGTTGATTGTCACTTCATTCGGGAAAGAATATTAAGTGGGAGCATTTCTACTCCATTTGTGAAGTCTGAAGATCAACTAGCTAATATGTTTACCAAAGCATTGGGTCATAACCGGTTAAGGACTATCTGTTCCAAGTTGGGATTATTTGATATATATTCTCCAGCTTGAGGGGGAGTGTTAGAATGTTTATGTATATATATATTTATGTTGGGTCATTATGTTATTACCCATAGTTGTTAGGATCATTGTATAATTAGGTAACCTTATTTAATTAGGGTTGTTTGTTTTCCCTTTATAAAAGCCACTGTAGGCTTAACGGTGAAGGTGTGAAATATATACAAGAGATATATAGAATACATATTCTCTCTTTCTCTCTCTCATGAATCTGAACATATTGTAAAAAAAAAAAATTGCATGTAATACACAATTTAATTTATTTTAATGGACAAAAATTGTGTAATAAACTCCATGAATGCGAAGTTGTAGAGAAGGTCTTGGCTGATAGTTCTAAAGTTGATGCTTGGTAAAAGGTGAGTCCATTGATTGTTTCGGATGATTTCTAGAAAAAGAGGAATATTGGGGGTTGCAAGTACGAACGGCGGCTTGGTAAGGATAACTCCAATTTTAGATGAAATGGCTTCCAACACTGCCACTCCTCATGTCGTCATCATAATCATCTTCTTCTATCATGCCACCAAACCCTAATTTCAGTTTCTTTTGCCATTCTCCGCCGTCGACGAAATCCTCCAACTGGCCGAAGCTCTCACGGGTAATGAGTTAGAGATTGATATCATGGATCAACGGCGGAGAGGATGGGGTGGAGACGATGGGAGAGCTTTACGTCCACTATGTGTTCAACGAACTTACGTAGGCACTTGTTGTTGAACTCGAGAATCAAGACTTGTTTCTGGAACTTCAATCTCTCGCGTCGGCGTTGAAGATGGGTTCATTGCTTGATGCCCAGGTCTTGCTGGTGGGACCTGGTCTGGCTTTGTCTCGGTCGACTGATGGTGGTGGAAGCGTGGTGATGGTGGTTGAAACGGTGGGGGTTGCGGAAGATAAAGATGAAAGTGAGATAGAAGGTAGAAGAGGGAGGAAGGAGTGGCTGTGGCGGTGGCGGTGGCCATGGTGGGAGGAGGTGCGAAGGCTATGGTGTCCCTGTTCGTCGCCCCCAGTATATATATATACATATATATATATATATGTATATGTGTATGTATATATATATATTCTTATACGGAGTATATATTTTGACTTCAATATAACAATTATGGGGTGGTAATTATGGAGGGCTAAAATTGTCATTTGATATACTCAAATATTTTGATATTTTTAATAATATAATAATGAGGATAGATAAGTAAATTCACTGTAAATTCTGACATAGGGAGGTCTTTGCAAAAAAATGTCAAACCTCAGGTTTACTTGCAATTAGTCCAAGGGTAGGTCATTGTAGTTTACTCTTAATGTATTGATAATACGTCAAAAACTGCTGAATACAACTTGGCACGACCCTTTTATAAGACACAAGGGATGCCCTAGCAAAGATTTAATCCTAGCCCTTCATATAAATATAATTTAAGAGCTAGAATTCTATCCAGCAGAATAAAGAGACTAAAATGAAAAAAAACAGTCCTTAAGTGGTCACATAACTCACTTAAAAGGCACATGACTTGTGAAATAGAATCAAAATGACAATAATACCCTAAATAAGAAAACAAGACAGATTTAAGGCTTATTTAAACGACTCAAGATCCATAAACAATCAAACAATCTGATCACATCATCAGCTGCCCCTGTTAATGGAAACTCAGTCTAGTCTTCGTATGATGCACAACTATTTGAAGATAGTCCTCTCCCACTTGCTTTGCATCAATTGCTTTGCCCGCTGAAAAAAAAAAAAAAAAAAAATTTGTTTTGCCCCGGGGATTTTCTTGCATAATTGCTGTCTATTCCATGTAATGGATAAAATGTAATTTGGATGTTGCGGTGGGAGCTTTTGCTAGTTTTATCACATTGATCTTTTGAGATGAAATTTGGAAATGTTGTTGACCCTAAACCATGGGGCTGACATTTAGAAGTGATGGCCTTTTATATATATATATATATATATATGTTGTGAGTTGCATGTGGGTAGAGTTAGTAAAGAAGGATATGATAGCATGTGGATTGACTGAGACTATGGCTTTAAATAGAGTGGAATGGAAACCCAGGATTCATGTAGCCGATCCCAAGTAGTTAGGAAAAGGCTTTGTTGTTGTTGTATGTTGTGAGTTGCATCGTGTGGAAGTGGTGTAGAAGTTTAATTTCAGTAGGAAGACCTAGAGGGGGGTGTATAGGTCTAGTTTGACCGTTTGATTGATTTTCAGATTATTATTATTTTTATTTTAATGATTAAAGCATGATTTAATCACACACAATTAGTGAAAATAAAGATAAAAGAAATTTAATGAGTGACACAAGGATTTTTACGTGGATAACCTCTATAAGAAAAACCACATAGACCTAGCCGTCTTTGGCAAAACAATCTACTATAACCAAGAAAGAGTACAAGAAGTTCCAATGCTTTCGGAACTGCTCTCCACGAGTCGCCGGTTCCAATACCTATCGAAATCACCTGCCGTTGATTTACCTCTGACGCTCAGTGTCATCCGATTGTAGTGCCTTTCGAATCCCTAGCTTGATAGATTGGGCCTTGCCCGGTCAGATAGGAAGATGATCCACACCAACTCAATCACCTCACGGTGATCCACTTCTCCTATTTACCTCTGACGCTCAATGTCATCCGATTTTAGTGCTTTTCGAGATCCCCAGCTTGATAGATTGGGCCTTGCCCGATCAGATAGGAAGATGATCCACTCCAACTCAATCACCTCACGATGATCCACTTGTCCTAGTAATTGTACCGGCCTCTTCTCTCACTAATCCTGTGAAAATCCAAATAAAACCTGCTTCTCTGATCAAACTAAATAGCTTTGTAGATGCCTCACGATATCGTTCATTAGATATAGAGCATCCCATTAAACACTTAACATGAACATGTGTGCTCATAATATAAAAGGAAAAAAAAAAAAAAGAAGCAGAAAAACCTCAGGTTGATTTTTCTCTCAGAAACCTTTTATGATATCAATTGAAAGTCTGGTTTCTCTCTTTTTAGAAACCTTATCAAAGTTGCGTATTATAAGCAAGAGAGTCCTTAAGAATTGTTTAAAATGAACTCTAAAAACATTAGACACGTCTCTTGAGTTTGGGTTGAAGTTGGAATCAAAGTCCTATCCGAAAGGTAAGATTTTAATCTTATCCAAAACACGTTCAACCAGTTAGGAAAGTTGACCAACTGATTGAGTAGTTCTCTGGGATAGAACTTGAAGGCTCCAAGGGCAAAATGTCCGACCAGTTGAGAAGCATTCTGGACTAAAATAGACACACTCTAGAACCACATTCAAGCGGTTGGGGAAAATGGCCAACTGTGGAGGGAAATTTCCCCACCAATTATAATACACTACATGTCAACAAATGTGAAGCCCACCTTTTGTTAAAATAGCTTTGAAGCCCAGCAGAAACCGGAGGCCCAACAAGAAAGACCCGAAAGAAGGTCAATTCGGCCTAACTAGTGAAGGAAGGCCTGCTCAACAGAAGCAGACCAAGGAATGGCCCAAGATCGGCACATTCAAACTTCCATAACACCCACAATAAAAGAGAATATCGTATAATAAGGGGGCATAAATGTCCACGTCCAAAAACTGCCAATAATGGCTCCATGTAAATCTCTGTACAGGCATATAAATAAAGCATGAATGAGAAGAGAGATCCATCGAATTCCAATCATACTATTCTCACTGTCAAATTTGTCTATTACTTTTGTTCTCTTGCTCATAATATTTTTTGTTCTCTTCCCAAAGGGGAGGTCAGGTGTTCAAACCGGCATGGGGTGCGTGTGTTTGCTTTAACCTTCCAAAAAAAAAAAAAAAAAATGGCCAACCAGTTGCATGGTTGTTGAGCATTAATTTCAACATAATCAAGTGCAACCAGTTGAATGGCATTCTGTTTGACATTAGCCAATATTCAGAATCACTCAATCCAATTTTTCTAAAACAAGTTTTAGTCACACTCACTCGCTTACCTGACCTAAATGATGTTCAATTCTGATCAAGCTCATGACAACCACTTGTTGTTCAGCTTCCAAAATCGAGACTCAAGATAAACAAAAATTACAATTTGATGAAATACGTTTTGACACCGAAATTTGCAACACAAAAAGTTTCTCACAGATGCTTCAAATGGATGAAGTGACTGTCCTTCTAATGGCTATATGTTTGCCAGTAATTGGGTCTATCTTTCCTTCAATTTGAAAGTGATGCTAAAGATGATTGCAGTAGCTTTTTTGTATTCTTATCTGATCTGTCTCGTATTTTTAAACCCATTGAGAAAGATAACAGGATTTTATCCTGCGATTCATAGTTGAAGGCTTATAGATGTACTCAGAGACCTGCAAATTGAGTATCTTGTCTGGGATGGGCAAGTGGGATTGATTGTCTTTTTCTTGCTTTAAATCAGAAAGGGATACGGAAGCATTTATTTTTAACCTTTTCTGAAGCCTGCCGACTTAATTTGACAGATAGCTGTTCAGAACATAAACATCAGTGAAGAGTTGCAAGCTTTAGTTGCTCCAGCAATACTGCCACGCTCATTTTTGAGTCTACTGGTAAGCCTATGCACCTAGTTCAGTCTTTCACTCTTACTTTCAGTTCTGTTTGCTGCCTTGTACATCTTAATCTGGGTGCCAATACTTTGTTCCCTTGGTTTCTAGCTAAGGCTTGGTTATGCTAATTTAGTTTAAGCTCAATATTGAGAATAAATAATTTAAGTCTGTAGTTTTACTTGGATGTCTTTTCAGTCCATCTGATGCATAAGCTTTTAAAATTAAGAATAAATATATGATATATCTACTCTAGATATTTGCTGCTGGATGGCATTGCACATAGTGGGCTTTTTTTCCCGTCAAGTTGATGGTTCTAATCCAGGAAAATATGTTGAAAACATTTGCATATAATCCAATTGTTCTCTTGAGAGTTTCACAAATATTTGTACACAGATCTTGCAGTCCATCCGAGCTTTCAAAGCTCAAGTTCCTGTGAGAGAGTCAGGAGGAAGGTATCTCATAAGATTTTACAATCATGACCTGCTCCGGCCAATTCTTCGTATAATGTAATTAATGAAAATCAATAAATAAATTGCAGGCAATCGGTGGGAGGACTATATTACCTTTCATATCTAGATGGCAATATGCTTTTGGGTCGCACAGTTGGAGGTGGATCAGTATTTGTGTTTACCAGAGCTCAACCTCTTATTGGATGAGGAACAAAAATGAACACTTTGTATTGGTTCACACCAGAATCCTGGCCTATTTACTACTGTATATGTAATGGATCGACAATTATGTATTCTCTTGTGACGGAAGTTGTACTTGGTGGTTGATATTGTATATTGCAGCCATGCGGTCTGAAGTTCACCATGCCCTTCCTTTTTTACTCTTGTCCACTTTCCTACATGAGTGAGGTCTGAAATTCACTTCAACATGCCCTGTTGATATATATAATCTTTTTATTTATTTATTTTTTTATATTGATTTTCCTGCCAATCCAATTATGGGTAGCCAGACAGCAAAAATGTAAATCAATTGTGAATTCCATCTAATGGCATATGATGAAAATTGATAGGATAATTATTTATGTCAGCAAGTTAGTTCTCTATTGAGAGGCATGATGAAAATTAATTTGGATGTCGTTCCCTTTGAAAATACGTAAAAATTAATTTACAGTATTTATACTATATGTAAATATTAAATGGAAACAAAGTATGTAGTTAGCCTTTACTCGGAAGTAGTCATCAAATGCTACTCTAATGGTGTCAAGTTTCCCATGTTGGAGACTTGAAGGAACTCTGCTAATTAGCCTGGGCAAAATATTAACGGGTTGGACTGGATAGAATTCCCAACTCTGACAACATAGGGCACGATTTGTTTGGATGCAGAATGTTTCCCAAAAAGTGTTGAGCTATGTATGGGGCACTGAATCGTCATCTTGGAACTAATACTGGAATTGCATTTTGTTGCTTCTAAATACAACATTTTAAGTATTTTTAGCAAAACTACCTTATCTATTGTACTTGTTTAAGACCGTTCTGGATCTGAACTCTATTGTTCTTTTAGCTATTGGCTTAAAATCTAGGGTATTTGGTTTGTTTTGCCACTCTTTTGAGGTTATATTATTATTATTATTATTATTATTATTTTTGTACATATTTTAGAAAAACTAAGAAGCTTCACCAATCATCTTAAAAGTGAATTCCCTTGTGACAATTAGTTTTAACCTTCCTTTATTTATTTATTTATTGCACAAAACCTTCCCAATTAACCGAGGGAGGTTACTTTAAAGGGAAATTACTAAAATACCTACCAAAAGAATTATGGATCAAGGAGCCCTTCTATTTAGGCAATTCATTTTCAATCAACAGACTTGGTGAGCACTGAGAAATGTTAAATTCTAGTGAACCATTATTAAAATGTTAAATTCTAGAGTTGCTTATCTTATGAATCCTTCTGGTATTTAGGTCTCATTTGATTCTTTATCTTCTAATAGATGAGGATGATCACCAAAACTAATATCAAGACTCTTCATAGCTGGGTCGAGGAAGTATGCAATGTGAAAATTCGAAAAAAATTATCTTAGCATCTATGAAGATAAAATACACACACACACACACAGTGCACCACAGATTGATGAAATGACCTGCGAGGGGGTTAGCACAATTCACAACCGATATTCTTGTGCATGATGCGTTCCAAATTTCAGCACCCAAGGAGAGAAAATAGATTTGGCATTCTTAAACAAAAGCACCTGGCACATCAAAATACAAGATGATGCATGTCTGCTTTTTTCTACTTCTTATTCCGGCTTGCAATTTTTCATGTTCCTCGTCTAGGCCATGTGCCTCTCTGTACTGAGAGGGTTGATAAGCCTCATGATTTAGGAGGCTCCAAAGGGAACATATAAAACGGAGAGCTCGTTGAGCAAAGAAAAAGAGAAAAGAGGGAGGCAAAAAGAAAAACCTAACCACGGCACAAACCATAATTTGACATGGCTCAAAAACATTACAAGAGCAAGTAGAGGCCCATAAAACTCAATTTATATGCATGATGTGGTCAATCAAATTTAGGAATTACTAATTACAACTTAATTGAGCAAGCTATTCCAATGCTGTTTAAGGACCTCATAGGCCTTGAGACAGGGAACAACCTGCAGTGTAGTTTTTCCATCAATGCTTTCTTTAGTTACAAGACCCAGCCTCAACAACGTGTCCATAGCCTTGTCAACTGGCATTTCAACCTGCATGCACTTCAACCCAATGATCAATTGATGCATAGAGCCGAAATTATTAGATAATTATCTCATTTTGTTACCTTCTCTTTAAACTCATTATACATAAATCTCTCACATTTGCCTCCAACACTTTGAGGGCAAGTGACCTGCAGTCCAGAGCGATTCTCAGTACATACTTGGCTAAAGAATTCATGGATAAAAGGATTGATAGAATTTCTAAATCAGCCTCTAAAACTAGATATCAAATCTATTTATCATAAACCAAAGGTGCATCTCTAAGTACTTAAAATGAAGTTTTTGGTGGCAAGCCCTTAGGAGGACACATGCCCTCCCACATGCACTACACAATATGAAACCCCCCAACCCATTGTCTTGCCTTTGTTGTTACCACGGTTCTAGTTATAGAAAGAGAGAGTGAGGAAGAGAGTTGAGAAAAGAGAAGAGGTAGAGCGGAGAGATCCGGCCGTGGAAGGAAAAGAAGAAGAACTTGGTGTTTTCTCACCTTCATCTCATCTCATGTGCATGCTGGTAATTTAATTTAGAGAAAAGTTTTCTGAATATTTCTCTTCTTTGTACAAGTATATATAGGAAAGAGGGAAAACTATACTGTTGGTCCCACCTTTGAATTAGGGTTTTCCCTTTTAAATGTCAAAATGTCCATCACAGGTTCTATACAGTAAGTTCCACGCAATGTTGGCTTGAACAATGCATTTAATTGACCTACAGGGGTAGTTTGGTCATTTCACAATGTTGAGAAGACTTTCCAAATGATCTAAGGAAGGTACATTGTATTGAAGACACTTCTGCAATCATCTTAGGGTTAAAAACCCTAGCACAAACAATGATATTTTGATACAGAGCTTCTCAGGGGCAATTTGTTCTTTTCACAAATGTATTATATCATAATACATTTGTGTATGATGGTACATTGTGCTGAATTGCTTAGGTTCACAGGTGTTCTAAGTATTCACAGGTTTAGCAGCTGAATTCACTATTAATTGATAATATCTCTGTGAGGGCGTTTTGGTCAATATATATTTGCCGAGAACTCTTGTGACACGTGTCTTGTGGTCCTGGTATGAAAATATGCAGGCTGTCATTCTTTGCTTAGTAAATAAGCTTGTCATACATTCATATACATATATATTTTCAAGGCTGTCAATAAGGATGCTTATTGAAGATATTTTCTGAAAAGGTGGCAAGGGTATTATGGTATTTTCACAAGGGAATTTCAGATGATTCCGTGGCCAATGATTGGATAATGGTGACACATACATTTCCTCTTTGAGATAGGATTTGTATTGATGATGTACTATATATATGCTGCTATAGTCATTTTAGGGTTTTGAGCCTTTGAAAAATCCCTTATAGCAAGCTACATTGCGAGTGTACTGAGAGTTGAATATGAACACACTTTTCTGAGATTATATGTAATGATGAAAACTTGATTTAAGCTTAGAAATCCATTCAAAGAATACACAAGTGTTAGAAGATCAAATGAAGGCCTGTAGCTGTGAATTTTACTAGTGCAAAAGCTGGATTCAAGGCCTTAAGTAGATTTGAGCTTGCTGTGGTGCTTGTACAAGGTTGAGGCAAGTGTAACTACATATTTTACATCTACAGAAAGCATGTTTATGACCATCTTTTAGCTGCATTTGATTTTGATGTCTCAGACCTGTATTTCAGTTTGATTTTCTGCTTTAGGTTTATGATCTGAACATAGTATCACTATATCTTGTTGTGAGTTGCATTATTATCATCTGAGCAAGTTTTTATAGCTGAATCAAGGTTGTTGAAGTTGAGGTTTGCCCATGATTAAGGTCAATATAACTTTTGACCTTGTGAAACCCTAGTTTTCATGTTTCTGCAGAACTGAGCCTGCAATTGAGTAGTATTTGTATACACATACTATATTCATCCCGATTATTATCTGAGTACGACTGTAATGAAGATACAAGGCTGTGAATTCCATCTATGAGGTTGTGGGACTTGAAATTTCAATTTTGCCCCTAAACCCTAGTTTCAACAGAATGAAGACTAAGTGCTCGTATTGATACTTTAAGCTTGTTTATCACTTTGATCTTGTAATACAACTTAAGTATTATTGATTGTAAACCTTTTTATGTATTGATTGTGAGCTGTGAGTGCTCATAAGGTCCAAGCAAGGGTGCCGTGGACAGGGGAAGTGCAGTGTGCACTTAGTGCTGCTAGTGTATGTGTAGAGGATGTATAAGCTAGTGTTTCATTTTGTACAAGGGTGTGTGCAGAGAGTGTGACAGCTGTGTGTGTAACTACTTGCATACTAGTGGAGATTTTATTCGCTGAGGCCAAGAACCAAAGTTTTTCCGCGTAAATGCACCGAGTCTTGAAGTGTATGTGAAAGCTTGTTGAATATGTTGTCATACTCATTACATTGCATTGATCATATAAGCCAGAAAAGTTCGTACGCCCCCCCTGGTTCATCACATACAAGGAAAGAAAATCTAAAACAAATCCCAACAATCTGCTCCTAACCTAAAGCAATCATAATAATCCACACGGTTAGACTAGCGGGTGAGAACTTGGGCCCTGGTGGCTCATGAAGCATCTGGTCTTAGGTTTGAGCCTCTGGGTAAACAATTTCGCCGGGGGGGGGGGGGGGGGGGGGGGGGGGAGGTGTGGCGGGTATCAACTAGGAAAAAGAAAAGCAATCATAATAATTAAATCCCTAACTTACAACAATCATGATAATTAAATCCCTAAAATGAAGGAGCTAAATATGGATAATATTAGTTGTTCCAACTATCATCTTCCAACACTCCCCCTCAAGCTGGAGCATAGATGTCTCGAATGCCCAGCTTGTCAAATGCCAAATTGAAAGTCCCGCATGACACTTCCTTTGTCAAAATATTTGTAAGCTGATTCTCTGTCTTCACAAACGGAGTGCAAATTAATCCTCTGGTCAACTTCTCCTTGATAAAGTGTTGTGAAGACACATAGCTAGAAATGGGATATTTTAGGGAGGTTTTCTTTCCCGAGTGGGATTATGAGCCTGATTCTCAAAAACTAACTCATCATTATGTGTTTCATCAAGTTGATTGATAGGTAACTGAGTGGACTCATAAACATGAGCATCAATAGAGAGTTCAGAAGAAGGGACTACCTCAAGAGCCCCCATTTGGTCATTGGGTTGATCAAGAGGTGGCTGAGTAGTCTGTGTCTTCTCCCTTCTTGAGTATACCAATCTTTGTGGCTCAAGAAATTCCTTTGAAGTCAGTGCAAAATTTCGAGTAGATGATGATATACTGGTTAAAGGTAGTGGCAGCACATCCCAACACTTCTCTTCATTTCTCAAATTCTCCCCCTGATCAATAGGTAAGCCTGATCTTCAACAAAAGTAACATCAATGGAAACAATCATCTTAATGTAGTACATGAATGGGCATACATGAACATTGCTTTGGAACATTGTTTTCTATTTTATGTTTTAGGAAAGTTTTCCATTATTTTAGTTTCCTAATAGTTTGATGTTTGTTTTAGGAAAGTTTCCATTGATTCCATTTCCTATAGTTTAGGATTTGCTTAGGCCTATAAATACATGCTATTGTAATAGTTTAGGGATCAACTTATCTCTTTTATTAATATCAGAAAACTGAGAGCTTTTCTCAATCTTTTCTCGTGGATTTGAGTGTTTAAAGAATACCTTGTTATTCATAATTATTTGGCATGCTTTCATTGATCTGCTACGTCAAGTTGGTATCAGAGCCATTCTCTATGGACAGTGATCAAGGAGAACGTAAGGTGATTGTGGGAGAATTCCAACAATTGCGTTAGGAACTCAAACAAGAGATTCAAACGATAGTTGAACATCTAACTGAAGTCATGGAACTCAAACAAGAGATTCAAACGGTAGTTGAACGTCTAACTGAAGCCATGAATCGTGTGCAGGTTCGTAATAGGCATGATCAGGACTAACTTGATGGTGTGAATCAGCCACGACGGTTGGAAATCAACGTGGTCATATTTAACGTGCTAATAATCAGCGCCAGTTTCAGTAAGAGGTTTAGTCTGATTCAAGCTGTTGAAGATTTACTGGAGGAATCAATGGAGAAAAATCTTTCAGTATTGATGTTGTTTCCTATATCTATCTCTTTCTATTCTTATTATTTCTTCTCCTATATAAAGGAGTTTTCACCACTGTATTGAGTATGAAAAGAGAGATTATTATAATAAAAGATATGTAGCCCTTTGGGCCTTGTGTGCCGTGGATGTAAGCCCTAGTGGCTGAACTACGTATATTCTTGCCTTATGTTCTTCATACTTTGTTTTTCTATTCAATTTTAATATGGTATCAGAGCAGGCAACATTCTTTGTTCATTTCTCTTTTTTCATCAGAGCCATTCTTGGTTCTCTTCTCAGATCTCTAAATCCAATTTTATTAAGGTGGTCTTCTTACACCTCTTCATCAATCAAGGTTGTTGCTACTCGTTTCGGATCTTCGGATTCATTTTTTAATGAGGTTGTCTTCATACACCGCTTCATTACTCGAGACTGAAGGTATTGTTTTAGCACATGGAGATCACGGGGTCAAAACAAATCAACAAGATTTTCGGATGAAATTTAACCTTCCGTTTTTTAATGGTCAACTTGATATCAAAGAGTTTCTGGACTAGCTTTTAGAAGTTGACAATTTTTTTTGATTATATGGGTTTCGCAGAGGAAAAGAAAGTTAAACTGGTTGCCTATTGTCTTAAGTGTGGTGCTTCTGCATGGTGGGATCAGTTACAACGTTCTTGAACCCGACTGATGAAGAATTCGATTAGATCATGGTCTCGGATGAAACAATTGAAGAAGCAGCAATTTTTACCGACTAATTATGATCAGATTTTATTTCAATAGTACCAGAATTGTCGCCAAGGAAATCGTTCTGTTCATGTTTATGCTGAAGAATTCTATCGATTATCATCTCGCAACGATTTGTTAGAGACTGAAGCATAAGAAGTTGCACGGTTCAATAATGGTTTGCGGCTGGCTATTTTGGACAGAGTGATGTTGCAAGCAACTTTCACCCTTGATGCTGCAGTTGAGTTAGCGACTTGAGTGGAAGCCCAGTTGGATCGACTGGATGTTCGTAATCAGAATTTTGGGCGTCCTACTTTTACACCGCA